CGGCTTTACTGACAAGATGCGCATGAAAATCACATTCGATTATTTGCACAGCCCTAGCTGAAATAAATGTTTTTTCTCCAATGCATGTTTGCCACAATTATTGGCACTCCTAGAAATTCTTATGAGTAAAATATCTCTGAAGTATATTCCCATTCATATTCACACTTTTGAGCACTCCAGGGTGATTATGAACATGAAATTATCCAGCCATGGCTTCCTAGGTAAGTTAGTGCTACTCCCTAAAATAGTTAGTTAATTGTTTTGTTTGTTATTTTAGGCCTTGCTCTCTCCTGAGCCATTGCTCCCTATCTCTTTGTTAAACTCATTGTTTTTTTTGTAAATAAATCTCCATCTTTGTATTCATTTGAATTGGTGTCACTTTCACTCTGGGACGGAGGACTGAAGTGTGTTCTTGCCGCTCTTTTTTTTTTAATTTATGCTTTTTTTCCATTGCTACTTCCCCTCTCAAACCCCTAGACAGGAGGGGGACGTAACACATTAAATAAATAATTTTTACCAGGTTACATGTTGAATATTAGTAACTCAAACCCCTTTTTCTAAGCCTCTCTACCTAACCGCCGGTCGCGCACATACGCCGTGTTTGTAGTTCTGGACAGAATCCTTCACCAAAGCGCAATGGATTGTGGGCAATATTAGCCATTAGAGTGTGCACGGATACACACTTCAAAAATCGACCTGAAATAGTAGACCATCCGGGGACTTTTGGCATATTCTTTTCAACATACTATGCTTTGGGACACACTTATTCTAATCTCACATACAATTTAGGATGGATAGTATGAACATTAAGACGCAGGGATAAATATGAGGAACCCAAAGGCCAACTCCGTTAACACGCTCACATCTCATTCAAAAAAGATACTCCCATATAGCATGACGCAATCGGTCACGAGACACACAAGAGACATTAGGTGCGTTCGACTTGAAGCACGGCTATAGACTGCAGTCAACGAGAGTAGCCGCTTGCAGTCGGGGGCGGAGTTGAAAACGGAGCCGTCAAGCCGGACATTTCTGCTGCTGTTAGTGATGCTCTCACGGTGTTTGCATACTCTATCACAGATTAAGTGAATTAAATGCAATATTTGTCAAATATACAGACGGTTTAGAAACGTTTTCATGAGCAACAGATATACTGATTATATACTGCTTAATACAACGCCATCTGTTCAAGAATAAAGTTCAACGTAAATATATACTATTTAAATACTAATAAAGTGGGGGTATATATGCTTTCATGATAAACGTGACTCAATATAACATTGCGACTACAGTAAAAAAGCTTTTACTGTTCTAAAAACACAGATTTGTGGCTATTATTGGAATTGAAAAGGTTAGAATAAACCCGAAACACACGTGATAGTTGTCATGCGGTGAATCTGGCCAATCGTGAAATGGCTGTGTCGTCATCAATGCTCCTGCAGTTGCTCTGAAAAAGCTGCACCAGCTGAGTCAGCCGGCTGCTCTCGAAACGCTATCGCGGTACTTTGATGCCACACGTGACAGTGACGTGGCGTCGGCGCCGGTTCAAGTCGGACAAAATTTCTAACCGGCATGCACTGCTTCAAGTCAGCCGCCGATCGGTTTGCGCGGCGCCGCATGAAGTCGAACGCACCTAATAGCATTTTACAACCAAGGCTGACGTAAGGCTTCTTCTGGCAGCATTTTTTGCATTTTGCGGACAGACTGCAGCACACAGGATGAGCTTTACGGCGGACGGAGACGGCGATCGCGTCTATTCCTCTCACAAATCAATAGTTTTGCCTCGGAAGACTTGGAATATTAGTACTTTTTGAATAAATTATGACTGTAGTTATATCTGCCTGTTATATCTTGTGTTTTATTGGCAAATGGTAGGTTTAGGGGCAGGGGTTGGGTTACATGCTCATAAATGTGTAAATAGTGTAATATGAATAAAACTGTTGTGACTGTTTACATGGAAAAATCACACCCCAACATATATGCAATAACGGCCATATTAATAT